AGATATTTTAAATTGAACAAATTAAGAATATGATTAAAAATTTCTGCCCAGCATTTTGACAGTGTCACAATAAATAATTGCTCGTTTCTGTGTATGTTTGTATTGACTGACCAATTGCAGATTTTTCCAATATGAGGGGTTGACAAATGCAAAATCCTTTGGGTTGTTCCCTGAAAGTTTTTGAAACAAACACTGAATGCACTGTAGTGATGTAGCCTATATGGTAGGGTGGGTCCACATCACCATCACTCATTCCCCATTCTATTCTTGAAAAAAATAGCCCATGAAAGCAGTTTTTAAATTTTTTTAAATATATGAAAGTTATTTAAATATTAATGTACAATAACAGACTCAGTATGTTTGTATAAAAATGATTTTAATCATAAATAGTAAACTGTACATTATAATGAACAATGTAATCATGTTTATCATTAATGAATAATGCATTAATTTTTACATAATCATTACACATAAAGCAACTTGAAATCAAGCAAATATATGAAATACATCAAAAATCTGAAATTACAATTTTAAAAACTGTATTTTATTAACTATTTCAATTGTATATATTTCAATATGTACTGTAAGTCAATATGTAATAATAATAATAAAATATAAATTATAGTATATATAAATCCTTATATTTAGCCATGTAAAAACAAATTTAAATAAAAAAATTTATTATAATATATAGGAAACTAAATTCCTGCTCCAGTGCAAAATACATAGCATTTAAGTAAAATATTGCCTTAAAAATAAATAGGGGAAGATGCAATGCAAATGTTTATATTTTATTCCTAAGTCTCCAACTTCCTTATTTAAGAATATATATATATATATATACAGCATTCTTTTGTTTTATCCTTTGTGTAGTTGTTTTTACATTGTTTTTGGATATATATTAAATACAATATTCACTTGTATGATCACACAATTCAGCAAACTTGTTTTTGTGAAAAGCAGATTAAGGCAACGGTAGAGAAAAACAAAAATTTCAAATTATATCTTAAAATAAAATTCAAATAATATTTCTGATTTTATTATCTAATGTTGTTGCTAATAAAATCATAAAATATATTAATACTCAAGAAATATAATGGCCAGGACAATATTAAAATATTCACAAATTAGATTGTGCTGTATCCCTGGAACTTTTTAACATTTTTTGCATATTGAGGTGGATGAATAGCCACAAATAAAAGGTCAACTCTCCTATAAAGAATTGTATTCCTGAGGTGTTGAAAAGAATATGAAAACACTTATTATTTCTTCTAATTTGTGAATATTTTTGTATATTAAAAGTACTACATCAGAAATGATCAGTGAGGCTTAATAGTAACGCATAATAGTATGCCCCACTGATCATTTCTAAAATGATTAATAGTTAATAAAATTAAAGTCTTTGCATTTCTAAAAGAGTGATGAAATCATAATTTGAATAAACAAAATGAAAAGAATAATTTTTAGTAGCATAACTCTAATGCATCTCTTAAATCTGAAAGACATTTAGTTCCTGCATGGGTTGAATATTATCTGTGCAGGTCTTTACTTCTTTTTCCAGACATATAGTTTATATATCACAGATATGTTGTTTTTAAATCAATTGTATTTTATTTAAATGCTTGTCCACAAAGGAACAATATTATAATGGTTGGTCAAGTGAAAAGACTGGACCTTATAAAACATATAGTGTTACTCGTCACCATAGCAGATTACAGCATACAGAGCATAATAACAAAGTTGTGTTAGCTGCTTTAGGAAATCATCTCCTGCATTCGGACATGTGTTCCAATACAGTACAAGTTTGTGTATACTCTAAGCATAGAAAAAAGGCTGCCAGATGAACAGCTGCTTGGAATTCACTGTCAGGTTGGAGTCTATAACCTTTGAGAAACTTTTTTAAAGATCTGAAAACATGGAATTTGCAAAGCAACATATCAGGGCTATATATTAGTTGCTGTATTGCTTTGGATGGGAAGTTCTGTAGCATCTGCCTTACAGCCCCAATAGAGTATACTGTCTATACTACAATGCTGGTATGGAAACCAGTGACACTATGCTTTATACAGTTCAGTCTATGTTTCATTTGGACAACCCTTATAGATATTAAAAAGATTTATTTGGAATAGTTTATCAACAAATTTCAATATTTATATTTTGACAATAAAATTAATTATTATAAAAATTTACTGATTTTATTTAGTTAGCTCATAATTAATTAAATTAAATAATTATAATTTGATGAGGTAACCCATACATTTTATTCCTGGGAGAGTAACCAATAATAATCAAATATTTTGATAATTTAAAAATATATTTATAGTATTTCAGTTTTGTTGTTCTGATTTCTTGGTAGAGGTTCAGGTCCCCTTCGCCCTCCTCTGAATGCATCAGTTTCTCTGGTTAATTCTATTAAGTTAAATTCAATTCAAAATGTTTTTCTTAGAACATCAAGTGTTTTCAGGCTGTGTTCTTCATCATCATCATCATCATCATCATCATGACTCTGATGAAAGATGTAATATACAGCCAGAAAGCACTTGAAATTTTTGTTCTGAGAAAAGTAGCTTGAATTAATTTGTTTGAGGAGCATTTTAACAAGTATTTTACTAGATTAAAAGTGCATCAGAGCTGCAAGGATTTATGGAGACCAAAATATTTTTAAGTACTGAAAAATAATAAAATTTTTATTAATAAAAATTATTCTGGTCTACAGAAATTTAATTTCATTAAAGTAATAATAATAGTTAATATTAATATTATTAAAATAATAATAGCTTTTATTTTAATTGGAAATCATAAAATTAAATATACATGTACTGTATGACATACTTGTATTATTAATAGAGTTAGTATTTTAATGGATACAAAATTTCTACACAATAATAATAATTAACTAATTTATTCTAGTTTTTATCACTAAAATTATTTTGGAACTTCATAATCCTTTTACAGTTGGTTTTCAAAAAGCTATTACTTTCAAAATGCTATACATTTTTTTCTAACTTTCTTCTTAATGTCACTGGAATATCAACTTTTTTCAGTTATTATTATATTTTTTATCTTGGTACCATAATAACTTGTAGAACAATATTAAATACAAAACAGAGAAACAATGATTCTGTGTTATACATTACCTTCACAAAAGAAAACAAAGTCTTTAGGAAAAATCTATTTGATTTAGAATATATTTTGTTTAGGTTGCTAAGGACGGAATGATAAAGTTTGTTGAAAACATTTTGGCAAATAAGAGTTGGCTCTTAAACAGGGAGCTTGTTTTTGGTATGAGAGTAATTATTAAATTTTTTATTTTTGTTGATTACAAACATTTTTTTGGCATTGCTATCTATTTTATTCTAAACTGATAACAAGGAGAATATTCTATTAGTAATTTTCAATTTAACTCTAAATTACGATAAAGATAAATTAATGCGTTTCAACAAAATTATTGCATGTTTTTACTATGAAATTATGACTGAATGCATTTTATATTTGTAAATGAAATCCTGATATCACAGATATATCAAATGGAATTTATGAATGGATTCTATAATAATCATATTTGATAGTAGCTTTGCATTATCTTCTTTTCAAATAAAATACTGTATTTGTATATAATTAACATATGAATTAACTGCACTTTTCATTTATGTTTTCATTTTAAAAATGAAAATATAAATGTTAACTTTAAATGTCAATTAAATAAAAAATATGGATTTAAACTATTCATTTAAAATGTAATATTAAATAAACAAGCTGTTACATCATCATTTTATTTTTGCAAGGATTTTATAAATAAAATAGACTTGAGGTTAAAGTAATAAATTTTGAATATAAAAAATATATTCTTGAAATTTTAATGTTAGTCCATTAATGAATTTCATGAATATAATTTACAAAATTTTATAAAAGTGTAAATACAGATGTATCCCAATAAAATTGGGAGAAAATGTAAAATATAAGGATATTATTTCTTCAAATGATTTTGGCCTGACTTATTTGTACTAGAAGTAATTAAGTATAAAATAAAATAAGAATAAAATTGCACATTTTCCAACACAAATATGTTTTATCTCTGGCTAAACAATTCGCAAGAAATGTATCCACAATCAAAACTGTAAATCTGTAAAATATTTTAAAATAAACTTCGTATTAAAATTAAAATAATTAATTCTATTAATAGTAATAAATAGAATGGTTTCGACCTAAGTTTTTTGGATCAGCTAATTGAAGATGGGAATTCAAATTGTGGATTTATTTTCTGTGTAACTCCTATTTCAAAGTTATGAATTTATAAAATTTATATGCCAGTCAAAACAGTTATGACAATTTCAAAATAGGAAAATCAACAGCTTGACAATAAATAAAATTCAAAATTCTTATATCTTAACATGTAAATTTTTTTACATTTAAAGATATAAAAAATGATTGGATAGGATCCAATAATCAACATTTAGGAAGCTAAATAGTCTAGCAATTATTATTTTAATATTCAGGATAGTTGTATTTAATAGTACAGTAACATTGAGTTTATTTTCCAAGTATTACTATCATAATTTGACTTTATCTATAATAGTGTTTTACTAAACATTCTCATAGACAAAGTTAAACTTACAGTTTCATTGATTTCAAATTAGAGGATTCTTTTGTATTTATTTTGCATCAGTTTCTAAATGGCAAAACTATATAAAAAGATGCATTTATGAATTAAGCCATAGAATATCAAAAATGTATAAATTGTTAATATTTAGATTATATATGGGTCAATCAATAACAAAAAAAGTTAAAACATTATATTAAAAAAAAGGGAACAAATTCACATTTTAAAGAAAATTTTAAAAAATTATAATCAAATATAATTGTCTAAATATTAAAAAAATATATTATATAACGATTCACATTTACAATTAAAATAATTTACATAATTAAGACATTCTTATCAATATTTCTAATATTACTTAATGTTTAACATGTAATTACAATATACATTATGTTCAGTAAGAAAAATATATTTACAATTGGATCAAACATCTTGTTGATCCTATAAAAATAGTTTGAATCACAGCATGTAAAATTATCTTAAATAATTATGTTGTAAGATATCAATAGTATTAATGATAATTGTTTTATCGGAATTGATTGTCAAACAATTATTTGTCTTCATTTTTTTCTTCTGTATTATCTATTTCTGTTTTTCCAATCGTAAATGTTACCTGCCATTTTTTGTTATTTTTCAATTTATCGGCTGGTAATTGGAACACATTTTTTTCTTTTCCGTGTTTAACCTCAAAAGTTACAGGCCCATTATATTCAGGATCAAAATTTGGTAACTTTTTACTATCTTCCTCTAACATTGATTTCAGTTGCTGCACTGTATAAGTCTGTGTGAGTTTGGAAGAATCATCTTCTGACATCATGTTGACAACAACTGAATCATCTGGATTTGAATCTCTAGACAGACCTCTTGCTACTGCTGTTAACACTGATCTGGGAATATCATCATTTTTTAATGATTTTTCTTCCCTCTCCTGTTTTAACATATTTCTTGTGTCTTCATTTTTTCTTCTCCAGAATTCTCTAAGTGATTCTATATCTTGTTTATATGATGGTAGATTGTCTGATTTGGAATGCCGAAGAGAAACTCCCGGCTTTTCTTTTCGGTGAGTGAATCTATCGAGGCTTCTTGACCTTGTTTGATGTAACAATTGATTTTTAAGTGCAATATTTTCAAAAGATTTTGTTTGTTGATTAGAAGACTGCTCCTGATTTATTACTGAATTATCACTTGGAACACTTGACGAAGGAGAAATAGCTGGAAGCAAATTCTGACGAACTGCTGTAGGCTTCGGAAATGAAAGTTTATCTGAAAATCATAATGCAAGTTTTTGTTTGTTATCCATAGAATCAGCATATGAAAATATTTTTTATTTTAACAATTTACTAATCTTAAGAACTTTTATCATCTTTTTTGAAAAATTTTTTATTAAATTAGTAATAGTTCATTAGTAACATTTAAATTTACAGTATACAAATGTTGAATATGAATTTAATTGCTGATAAAATCAGTTTTTATATTTCAAAATTAAGCTTTTAATAGTATATATTTTTAATTGCAATTGTGTGTACATACAATTATAGTTAAAAATGTTATAATTTGAACTATTGAATGAAATATTGAAATTTCTCAGTTATGATTATTTATAATATGTAAAATAATATGCTAAAATTATCATATGATAATAAAAGTTGATTGTTTGTTAAAATATTAAGTTAGAAAATAAGAATAAATTGTAAATAAAATATACAAATTGAAAATTTTAATCTATGTAATTATACATATAAAATTTATATTAACTTTATATTTATTCATCTTACTATGTTAATTTAAGATAAAGTAAATTATAAATATTCTGATCTTAAACTATACAATTTTATCATGCATTCTAATTTATTTAGAAGGAATTTTTTTTTATCATTTATAAAAATTCTCTAAATTTGAAATACCAGACAATCTGTATACAGGCGAAGGAATTCAATTTATGTCAAAATAATTTCAAAACTTTGCAAAAATTAACCAATGCACCTTTAACAGTGAGTGAAATTTAAAGAACACTAACATTATCAACCTGGTTAGTGGGCCATCTTCAGACATAAACAGTGTTGCCAGTATTGGAAGGGAGGAAGATGGGACATATTCTGATAGAGTAAACAAATGGGAAAGGTGGACCATGACAGTGGCAGTTGATGCAAAAGACTAAAGGAGTTCTTATCAGTATTGTTTATACAAATGTTGGTAATGGAGTGGTTATAAATTTTCCATTTCTCTACTATACTAGCAAGAGACAGTTTTGGTTGTTTTGCTGCTTGCCAATCTATCTCTGTATCAGGAAGTTGTGCAAAGGAAAATAAAACTGTAGCAGATTCTCCTCTTTTAATATCTTTACATTTGATGAATCTCAGATTGTGGGATCTTGAGATATATCCATCACTGTGTTGATGCCAGTCTCCTTGTTTATGGCCAAGTAGGTGTATGAGTAAGGTAAGGTAGATAACCACTACCTTACATCTATCATCAACTGTGTTACTAAGTAAGCTAAAACTGTAACCATGAAAACACTGCCCTTTCAGAATTATATAAATGTTTCAGCCACGGCCCATCTGGGGCTAATTGCCTTCTCCAAAATCCTCAAAAAAGGAAAGCAGTTACAACCAGTGGCTTAGAAGTACCACTCATCCATGTACCTAATGAAAAACTTCTTCATCTCCTCTTGCCTCAAGGAACACATTCTGTCAACTGCCAGCTCAATGGAAGTAGTCATTGATCTCAGGGACATAACAATACTGGAAGATTAAGTTATAATATTTGATTTCATAAGCCTATATCCCTCTATTAAGGTATGGTTACAGTGGTTGCATGTTCTAATAAAAAAGATTTCTGCCAAGTTCATCTTATCTGTTTGTCAGAACAAGGATTTGAACAACCAACCTGTTCTGATATGTTTGGACATTATCTGAAGAACAGTACATATGCACTGTAAACACTGTCAAAATTGGTGTAGTTTGATTGTTCTAGCAAACTCATCAAAAATCTTTTTTGTCAGAACACTGCATCCACTATAACCATACTCTTAAATTTGAGCCTTGTTTCTGCTATCCCTTATTTTGAATGTTTCTCCAATATCCTACAGCTTATGGACTGAATATGCCACTCATGATTTTTTTCCTTCAACAATAAAATCTATCTACAAGCACAACAAAGGTTTATCTGTGGGAAACTTAGTGTGAGGCTCACACACAGCATCATTTATTATAAACACTATATGGATGATGTCTCGATCATTTGGAAACACATACCCAGTTAAATGTTTTCATTCAGCTATTGAACAATAATCCCTTTGGTACCATTTTTATTTGGATCACCTTGGGGAAGAGTTTTTCCCTCTAGAAGTTAGAAATCCCTGAAAGCTCTGAGCAAACATACATAAAATCTATGCTCAAAAATTAAATAAACTCATGCTTAAGTTACAAGTACAGAAGGTCCTATTAAGCTGAGTGATGATGATGCCTCAGAAATTATGTACATATGCATCAAGGAAAATTCAGCTGGCAATACAAAAATAATCAAGATCAGGTTTTAAATACTGTAGTATTTTATTTGTCTTTAGAAAATAAACATTACAGTTTTGTCTTAAACGTGCTGTACATAAAAATTTTTTTTTAATACCACAATGACAATAATAGCTGCCCCCCAAATAACAAACAAACAACAAACCCATGAATATAAAAATTAAAATTAAAATTACACTTTAAAGGATACATGGGAATTAGTGTGGAGAACAGTCATAAAAAGATTTTTACAAATGGATTTCAAAACTTATGAAAAAGTAGATAGTTACAGCAGTTTTTTGGTATTTGAAGAAAAATGATTTAAGTGTAACATTAAGGTGGGTAAATAAGGAATATAAACATGTAGAATTTCTAGAGTTAAAAGAAGGAACTTTTAAAAAAAAAAACTTAGAAGGAAGGAGATTAAAATATTTATAAGAATATATTCTGTCAAAATAATCAATATGTTTAAAAAACCAGGTAAGCCCAAGCACACATAAGCAACCTTGGAAAAACCAGCAAAGGGGAGGTTTGCAAGCTTATTTAAAAAGAGATAAATTTTAGCCAACTCTGAATGAAATTTATGCAGAGTGGAGACAGGCTGATGCCCAAATGGGCAAGGCATAATCTATTAAGATTTGTATATTAGTAAAAAATAAAGCTTGAAGTATACTTTTACTAGAAATTACTGTGAAATTTCTCCACAACATGCTCCTTGAGAAGTTTTTAGTTAATAGTTCAATATGATATTTAAAAGAAAGTGTTGAATCAAAGACAACACCAAGGTCCTGAATAGTATCAACTACATCTGAAAAATGTGATAAAATACTTATTGTGTGTAAAATACTAGAAATGTCATATACAATCCTAAAATAAAATATTAATGAAACAGTCTCTATATCTTTAATGAACGTTCTGGAATTTTTATATAGAACCTGCAGTAGAATACTTTACTTGTTAGATCTTTTAGGGAACCATTTACAAAGGAATTAAAAACTTTCCCTGGTAGAAGATAGCCCTCTCCCCATTCAAGTCAAATCTCCCTGTAGACTTTGGAGTCTAGATAAAGGATTGGACCATAGAGCACTTATGATCTAATCCTATGTAAGAGATTAAGGAAAAGCTGGACATGAACTATTGTAATAAAAAAGATTTATAGCACTTGACAGCATTGTGTCATGATTTCTGTCAGCTGGGTAGTAATGACATGTTATATTTTCACATTTTTGTCCATGTTTTGTGGAGCTGAAAACTCTTTGCTTTTGAAAGATTTTATTCTTCAATTAAGTATTTATCACAAGTATTTGAAAAGTGGAAAATTTATAGGCATTCCATTACCAGCATTTGTATAAACAGTAGAGATAAGAATTCTTTTCTGACAGCATCTCCTTTAGTCTTTCACATCAACTGTCACCATAATAGTCCACCTTTCCTGTTTGTTCACTCCACTGGAGTCTATCCATCTTTCTTCTTTCTGACATTGACATTCCTAACTTTCAATTGCCCATGTCTGAAGATGGCCTAGATTGAAAAGATCAGTATTTTTTTAAACTTCACTCACTGTTAACGATGCATTGATTAATTCAGCTGTTAGAAATATGGCCAGAGAAACTCTTGGTTCATCTGTACAAAAGATTGATGAAAAGAACCTGTAAAAGAAAGTCTTCTGAAATCCTGTATTATAAAAAAGGTGAGAAACCAATTAAAAACTAAATATATAGTGACAAAGAGACTAAGAAAAGTCTGAAAAAGTACTACATAAAAAAGGATGAGACAGTGGTGCCCTGCTATGGTTCTGTCATCTGTTAAAGACCAGATCATATCATCCAAATGGAATAATTTATTGAAAAAATTTTCATTTCTGAAACAACACACCACTGAGGAAAACCCTTCATTTTTTCCTAAATAGAAAAAAAGCAACAATCAAGGAACAGATCAAGCTGTTTTGTAGTGATGAATTGAATAAATTAATAAGAACCAAGAGGACTGAGTAAAAAAAAAACCAACCAAAACATAATCATGTTAACCTCATCACATTCAGTAGTCAAATGACAAAATCCAGAAAAAGTTATCAAAACTCCTGAAAGATTAATGTTGTATTAATATTCAAAGTTTAATATTAGTTACATAAATTTAAATCTTAACTTGAACAGAAAAGATGTAAAATAAATTAATTATCAATTATATTATTATTATTAGTTTAAAAGAAATATGATCAAGTATTGTTAGATTTTTGTTTGACTGGTAATTTATTGAATAGATCACAAATATGACAAAATAATGTTATTAATCCATAATGATTGATAAATTTAAAATCAAATAGTTTAAAAACATACATATTCAATAAATTGTTATATTAATATAGTTAAAAAGAAATTACTCACTTGTTCTTCCAGAATAAGCTTGTGATGCATGATTACATCGATGAGTTTTGCATGTACAGCTATATGCAGATTCATTCTCTATAATTGTATATGGTTGTAGAGATTTCTGGACAACTGTCTGAACATTAAGAATTTAGATTTTAGAACCAAATAAAATATGCTATAAGAATTTAAAACTGAAAAATAATCACTCACTTTTATTCTTGGAACCTTTCCATGATTTGATGATGATAATAATCTAAGCTGATCTAAAATATTTCAAATTATATAATTTTAGTAATATAATTTAAATAATTTATTATTTCAAATTTTTCAATAAACAATATCAAAATAATTACCATACAAATATTTCTCAAAAGCTTTATATGTATAAGGACCTTCAAAGTCTCGCATACCAGGTAATAAAACTTCTCTCCGATACCTCTCCACTAGTCTTTTCACAACTATACTTTCATTTGCTCTTCCACTTCGAATTTGATGATGTTTCAATTCTTGTAATTCTTGAAACAATTTCCTTTCCAATTGATATCTATAAACAATGTTCATATTTGTACTTATAGTCATCAAAAAGTTCTTAATCAATTAATGTTGTCCTCCAAAATTTCAGATTAGAAAAATTTTACCTTAAATATAAGAATGTAAATACCACATCATACTTACTTTCTTAAACTCTGTTGAATCTGTTGAGTAATACTACGTGATGCCATACTTTTCTGCCCAGAATTTTGTAGTTTTTCCATAACAGGAATGTTTTGATTATTAGTTGATCTTCGAGTATTAACTCTTGCTTTGATATGGCTATAATCTGATTTACCAGGAAGCTGACTGTAATCTAACTTTCCCATCATTGTATTATTATAATCTCTTCCAGGAATATGACATTTTCTTTCATGAATTGTTCTTGGCATTTCTTCTTGCTCTTCTTCCAGTTTGACATCAGGCAACTTTTTTCTAGTCTTTCTTTTCCTTCTAATCTCTAATAGAACTGGTTTATACATATCATTAAGTACATCATGTTGATCACTGTTTTCTGAATATGCAATCTTCTCTACATCCTCACCAAGTCCAGAATCTTTAACAGTGGTATCTGAACTTGAAAGTGGTGAAAGAGAATTAACTTTTGATAATACTTTATTAGAATTAGAATTTTCTGCTTCTTCAGAAAGTGGAAACTGTATCACTTTAACTTCACCAACTCCTTCAGGTACATAAACTCTTAATTTTTTTTTAATTGATTTTTTCTTTATTGAATCTTCAGGAATGAGAATTCCTTTTTTATCATTACTAACAGAATTTAAATTTGATTCTTTGTTTTCATCATTATTATCTAATTCTTTATTTCTATGAATCTGTACCTCAATAGTTTTTCCTTCATCTTCATTTTCAGTTGATTTATGACTTTTCAAATTATTTATTTCTATATTTTCTTCTTTATTTACTTCTTCATTTGCATGCACATAAACATGAGTAACCATAGACTCATTTTCTTTTGTTTTAGCTTCATTTTGGGGTAGATGTACCTGAACATTGGCATCTCTCAGTTCAGATCTTAAAACATCAGTTTGAACTGCACTCTCTAAACGATCACTGACTGGTGTTATTCTACCATCATCCAATACAGAATAGGGACGTCCATTCAAGTCAATACCATTTATATAATACCTAAATAAATATTAAAAATATATTCATAAATTTAAATTGTTTTGATTTAATTAAAATTTTCTATTGATTCAAATATTTTAAAAATTTTATAATGTATTTCACACATATCAATCTGAAAAATAGAGGACAACATCATAAAATCTACACTCTTGTATAGTTCTAATATATATATAATTTATTCAAATTAAAATATAAAATCACCACCCATTTCCATCTCCAATCTCAAAAAACAACCAATAAAAGCATTAAAAAATTTTAATCTTAAAGATGGTCATGCACAATCTGAAAGTATTTTGAATTTAAACAATTTAGATTGTGTATATTATTTTGACTCCCAAAAAAAGTAAGATTTATTTTCACAGCATTGGCAACAACATTTTAAAGATATTGAAATTAAAATGATCAATCCAACATTTTACATTTATTTTTCTACTAACTTAAATATAAAATGTTAAAATTTGAAAACTTCCTTGAATTTGAAAAAAAAAAGTGAGAATTCAACAATAAAAAAATAATCTTGTCAATTTAAAATTATAACCTTAAGAATAGGTAAATAAATTTACCTAGAATAATCATCTTTTTCAATTAATTTACTAGCTGGAATGGCTCCATGGAGTTGAAGATATTTTGCACAACCTCTGTTTCCACAATAAATGGCAGCATCCAGCGGTGTCATTAATTGTCCCTAGTTATCAAAGTGTATTTCAAATAATAAATAAATAAATATATTTTAGAATACGAGGAAAAGTTTTGGTTTTTTTGTTCAAGTTAATATGTTGAATGACATACTAAACTAAAAATTCAACAATGAAAAACTTTTGTAAATGAATAAATTATTAAATTTTATTTTTTATGTTAAAATTTAATAATGTTTTCAAATATTAAAAAATCAAGTCCAGATTTAATCTACAAAATCAATAAAGATTTTATAGGATATTTTAATATTTATAAAACATTTCCATGATTCTGTCACAAATTAGAAACATATATAACAGACAATTAGTCCTACATCAGCAGTTAAATAAATTTTTTGTTTTCTTTTTTAAACCAAAATATGACTTTTAGCATTAATTTTTAAGATATATATTTTTAGGAACAACTTCATGACAGATTATAAAAAAAATCTATGTATGCAGACTATGTCACCTTACCAATTTTGATTACAAGTAAATAATTTTTAATGATGTAAAATTCAAGAATTAAGTAGTATAGCTTATTTATATCTTATTATTTAAAACGATTTGACTTTTTAAATTTTTTTTATGAAGATTCAAAAACAAATACAGAAAATTTTAATTTCTTTATATAGCTTATAAACATCACAAATATAATGTACAAGTAATCCTCATATAATGTGGTACTTATACAATGCAATTTAGATATAAGAGTTCATATGAAATCATTTATTTATCTTATTCTAGTAAATGATTTTTCAGTTGATACAACATACTTTGCATGTGTAGATTCTGCAGTTTTCCCTGTATAGTGAAAGCATTTTATGCGTGACAATCTTGTTAGAAAAATGTAAAATACTATTCTGTGCTAACAAGTAAGTAATTTTATGCACTGTATGTAATGTAAATTCTTTTTGGCATTTTGTGTGTAAACTGCATGCTGCTTATAGTTTTCTTTTACTTTTTCAGTTACATTCTTGAAAATAGCATTTAATTAGATAATAAGTGTGGACAAAGTAAAGACATAAATTACCGTAAGTGCATTTCAATCCTGAGTAAACAAAATTGTATTTTATGAATTTTTAATAAGTTTGTTTTTGTTTTGTAATTTATGTTTTGTTAAATGAAGTTTTCTGAGTTAAATAAAACTGTTTTTCTTACGTGACAGATAAAATTTATGATAATTGTATATTATTCCTGCATTACATGATTTTTATAATGCCCCATTTTTGTGGAACCTACTTACTACTATGTTGTGTCTTTTCCTGCCCCCCTTCGCCACATGGTGGGTCCAACTTGGTGGAGAGGAGTTGTGTAATTCTGGGTGTGTAACAGAGGGTGGGAGTTTTATTGGAGGGTGTGTTTCGGGTAGAAGTTAGAACAGAAGTGGAGAGAGGACGGGGAAGAAGAAAAGTAGTGGTGGTGGTGAAAGTGCATGGGAAAGTAAAGATTGTGCAACCAAGTCAGTGTGAGATTTTGAATTTTGAACTGTTTTCTACCCAGAGTGACGAAAAGGAAGAGGTACACTTCAAACTCATTGTCAGTATGTTTTATGTCCTCACGTTATGGGAATTTTGAGCAGTATATTGTCAGGAGATTTGATGTTAACAATATTCAATATATTGGATTGTCGGGCTCCGTATGTTCCTGTGATTTTTTTTTCTTAGAAGTACTGTATGTTCTCAGGAAAATTAAAGGGTTATCTTGTTAATTTGGATAGTTGTCTTTGTCTAGTCCCTATTGAGATCAGTGGATTCTTCCTGCTAAGTGTCTGCTCTATCAAGCACACTTGTTCTAAATTTGTCCCTTTGAAGAAATCACTAAAGTTCTACATGTCGACTCGTTCCCACATTTATATACTCTCACAGTGTTATATGAAGGTTACCTGTATATTATACTGGTGTTACAATATGTTCACAGGTCCCCACAAAATAACAAGAAAGCTCAATGATGTATTTCTATAAAAAAACTACAAACCCATTCATAGTCATGCCAATTTAACTAATAATTTCTATATATAATAATTAAAAAGTAAATTATTTAAAAAATACTGTAATCATCATTTTAAGTTCAGTAAAATTTATCTATTTATTTATTGTCGATATATTTGTAATAGGGTGGTGAGATAGCAGATCTTCCCCTATAAATAACAAAATCCATATTAAAAAAAATAAATAATAAAAAGAGATAAAGCTAATAGTCATATTCAATAGTCATATTAGCTGTATTTGTATTTCAAACAGAATAATAGACACTGTAGTACCGTACTTTCAAGTACTTTTTGAGAATCCATTTTAATATTTTTTATACAAATTAGCTGCCAAAATATTGCATACACTGTAGACACTTTTATCCTTCTGCAATGTGAATCCTACTGTCTTTCTATTACACAATTGTATAAGTACAGATATACAATAAAATTTACTTATTCTAATCACTTTGAGTCTTGTCTATAGACCAGTGATTATAATAACAGACTGACAATATTAAATAAGACTACAATTAGTGGAAATTCTGATTTTATTGTTTCTGACATTAAAAGATCAAGTTAAAACAACTAAAAAATGTGCAGTTAGAAGATTAATTAATAATAAGTTGTCCAGTTTTGTAAGATTGTCTTTAACAAAAGATAAAATATAATTAAAGGAGAGGCAGTAATTTAAACTATTGTACTGTTAGCAAATAACAATTAAAACTATTAAAGCAATAGTTAAGAATAATAACAATTGTGTGTAATCAGCCAAATATTGAAGTTGTAGCACAAAAAGAGTGTAAATGTGGCTGTTTACCTGAAGCTAATGCCAACTATAACCAATATAAAATTTTGCTTACTGTAATCAAAATAAGTATATTTTAACTTCACGTTATTTTGGGACATGCTAGTTCTGATAACATTAAAAGGACTTTGATTATAATAACATGATTCTACTATAACTAACACATACACACACAAAAGATATCTAAAATACAATATTTAGATCCTTAGTAAATTATTTTTAATTAAAATGTTATTTAATTATTATTATAAAATAAAAGTTTAATCAATACCTTACTATTTCGCATAATAGGATTAATGAAGGCACCCCAATCCATTAATACCTTACACATTTCTATATTGTTACTTATTGCAGCAGCATGAAGCGAAGTACGCCCATTGCTATTAGAGATGTTGACTGCATGGGGTTGTGATTCGAGTAACCAATAAACTAAATCTAAAAATATGATTTTAAAAAGTTCTAATTACAAATGCAATACAAATATTGCATTATTAATTTGAAGATCTGCATAACATATATATAATAATAATACCTTTTCTTCCGGATTGAACTGCTTCATGCAGGGCAACATCACCTCTGATATTTCTAATCCACAAATTAGCTCCATTTTTTGATAATATTTTTAAAGTTTCCAGTTGTCCTTTAGCAGCACCACAATGAGCAGGTCTATATTATGAAGATGTAAAATGTATAATAATCAACAACAACATACATTTAAATGTTGATAATCTTACGTTCTTCCTTTGCGATCTTGGCGATTTGGTTCTGCCCCATATTTCAACAACAATTGAGTACAGTCTGCATGACCGAGAGTGACAGCATAAAAAAGAGCTGTGCACCCATTACTATCAATGATATCAACTTCAGCACCACATAATGTTACTAAGGTTTCGATGCAGTCGTTATGTCCTCGACTGGCTGCACAATGAAGAGCTGTCAAAAATATACAATATTTAATTTTAATTTCATTTCTATATTTTATATTTGTTCAATATTTACTTTGCCTCTACATTAATTCAGGGTTTTCAATTTATTTCTAGAACTTCTAGAAGCAAGCAAGAAACTAGCAAGAAACTAGCTAGAAACTAGAAGCAAGAAAATGCAAAGAATAAACCACAATAAAGTACGAAATATGATTGGATTTTTTAAAAATTTAATAAAAAGTTACTGAAATCAGAGGATTTTTGTAGATTAGTTAATGTACAGTATGTTAGTTATTAGTGATAAATCATATTATTTAATGTTGAATAGTATAATACAATATCTGATTTTCTGTACAATATGCTTTGATGTAATGTTCCTAAGTATTATACTGGATAATAATAAAAATTTGGTTTAATGATCATGAATTGCCCTCTGTTTATCCTCCAAGGTCAGAGATCAATCAGAATTTCAATGGCTAAATACTTTTATATATATACAGTCAGTCTTCAACTTATGATGATCGAAACTAGTATAGGCCCACTTATATTTAAAAAAAAAATTATTTTAGAGTCCCAATATCAGTCACAGCTACTAATTCATTAGTAGCTGTGACTGACATTGGGACTCAATCATTTTTTTTTTGTACCGTGCCATTCATGGCACGGAAAATAATTATGGTTTTACATTTAACATTATTTTTATTATTATTATTATTTTTTTTTTATGTTCAACTTTTCAACAATTCGATTTACAATGGTGATCTCAGAATAAACTATCAGTATAGATAAAACAGATTCCAATAATATTACGTCTTTAACCAAAGATGTTGCAACTAATTATTTCCTAATGGGTAAAATCTTTTGTACTGTGACATGTCTTAAAACAATCTCCAAAATACTTAATTTTTTTCTAGAAAAATCAGACCTTTTATTTAAGGTCTCCCTTTTCTAGAACAATAATTATATCCCTCTACAGAAAATAGAAATATTACGTAGGGATTTTTAAACAGATACATATGTTATGCCATTCATAGTTTATTTTAACTTAACAATTCTTTAAAGTAGCTATGCCTGGATTTCAGTCTGACACAGCACTCGATACTGACATCTATCTGCTTTTATATTTACATCACTATAATAATAAAGCATTAGGTATACTTATTGAAGTACACACAAAAAATCTCACTAAAAAATATTGAGTAATAAAATGTAATAGAATTTGTTCTTAAACTTATTAAAAGCAAAATACATTTCTTTCCTTCTTTTTGATTTAATTATAAAAGAATTAAATTAGAATTTAAAAAATTCAAAATTACTTATTGTGACATGGTCACAATGCCAGACTGCAGTTTCAATCATATTTTTAATTTATTTAATTTAAAATATTGATATATGATCTGGATTCAAATTATTAGTGTCTTGCCCCTGTATGTCATACTTTTCTTGATAACATCAGAGTCATGCCGGTCATCTCTCTCTGTTCTTGGGAAAATTTCAAATGTTTCGAATCTAAATCCAGTTTTGATTAACTTACACCAGATTAATAATGATTATAGTCGTATTGCCTTTAAATTACACACTTCATAGACCAATCAAAAGATCATTCTCAGGTTTTTTTTGTGTGCAAAGGTCATTTTGGCCCACTTTCACCACGATAAATAATTAACTGGATTTGTAGTCTATGTATTAATGTCTATGATGTATTCTACTTTTACTTATTGAACATAATGACTTTTAAATTACATAATAAAACATTTTTACATTTTATTTACAATTGTATTTATTAAAGCAAATGTAAACGCATGATTACAATCACAGACGGATGGGATTAGATGAAGCATCACGGAAAACATATGAAGTGGCACCGGTGTCATCAGTTAAAATGTCCGGATGTTAAAATCCAGGACCCTTTGACCTACATTAAAGTGTCTGTCTGGACACTAACTCGTGACACCAGCGCTTATGAATATGTAGAGAATAAGTTGAAAAGTAGACTGTTTTTTACAAATGTCTCGCATCATAAATTAAATAGGCTACATAAGAAACAATATTTTAAAAATGATTTATTCATTGTTGAAGTATAACAAAAACAGTCATAAGTATTTTTTATTTTGGTAAATGCATACCACATTTACAAATAATTACTATTTATGTCGGCTACACTTAAGGAACTCAGAACAAAATATCACAGAAATGATGCTTAGACTAATAAAATAAGTTTTTCCCCCTCTATATAAAGTATATAGAAAAAATATCCTTGAGTTCATGCATTAAATAATAAACTTTGATAATAGGGGACTTCAAGCTAGAGCCGTAATGATTTCTTCTTTTTCAACTCTGCTCACAATTCCTCTCTCACGGTTCATTAGCATGAATGCTCCCAGTCGAGATTAAGTGTATTGCTGATCTTAATCTATTCTTTATACATTTTAATTTCGAAAAGGTTCGTTCGCAAGCTTCTCGAGAAATTGGCCAAGTTAAAAAATATTGATATGCAAGAGCAAGTGTGGGGTAAGCTGTCTGGTACAGTACATATTGTATTTATATGTTAATAACGCAGTTTACAACGTATAAACCTATATTAATAACAAAAATTATAGATAAAAGAGCAATATGAGGTAAGACCACAACAAAACTTTCTGGGGGTGCCACTGATGTAGGTACAATACCTATGTTGTAAGCTTGATTTGCGTATTTTGATTGGATTGGTGGATGGAGTAAGACAACGCAACACATGGGCAATCTGCCAAAGAAGGCGCCTACCCAGAGAACTTTCTGTGAAAACTAGCTTCTATTTAGGAGTTACGTGAAAAAAACCTGAAAAACTACACGCAGCCAGCCCGTTGGTCAGACGCGAACCAGTCACCAAATTACCAGTGCTATCCACTCAACTAGCAGTAAACACAAAGTTTTAATTGTAATTGGGCTGCAATTTGAAAAAAAAATGTGGATCTATAAATTCCCATTGTCGTCATCGTCTGCCTGTCTGTCCTTCATTAATCTCGAGAACGGTATTAAATACGGTCGAGACCAGATATGGAAAGCTTAGGGGCATTGGGCCACGGTTAACTAAATACAAACGTCCGGGCTAGACCAGAAGTAATATGATTTCAATTCAAAAATTTTCCCTCCTACAACAAAGTTACGTAGATGACTGGCATGACTGTTGTTATCAGGAAAATTATGATGTACAGGAGCATGACACTATTAATTTGAGATCGCGAGTATATACCTCGTATTTTAAATATGATTAAATTTTTCATCACGATGTCACAATAATTTTTGCTCGTTTTATAATAAAAATTTAGACTTTCCGGCGCCTCTGGAAATTTTCCGACTTCCAGATGGTCCCATCCGCCCTCTTCCCTAATCACAATTAAAATTTCTTTCATCTTTTAAAAACTTTTATTCTGACTTCTCACGACAATACGAAACTATTTTAAAAACTTCCCAGATCCTTTCGAATACCACACATCTCCTTCCAAGATTCGTGAAACAAACTGTAACTTACTATCCTAAGTTTCGCTTGTCTTTGTCGACAAAGCATTTAAAATACTCTTTCGCAATTCATGTCGAATAATGCAGAACCTTGGCTACACGAGTCTCCGTTAATCAAGACTCTACCATAATACGTGTGCACTGTGCTCAGGGAAGGAAGCTGGAAATTTTTCTCCGGACCCGAGAAAATTTAAAGGCCGGTATTAGTTCTTTTCCGTATAAACTATAATGTTACCTTTATTAATATATTTAACTACTATTTATTAGTATAGAAGCATACTATATATTTCATTTATTTAAAAAAAAATGCAAAACGGGACCACTCTATCCTTGGTCCCCATACGAACTTTCGACGTCCCTGTGTGCGGGAGTACAATTGAAGCGTATAGTTTCAAATACATCTTAAAAAAACAATTAGCTAAGCACTTGATCTTACGTATTTTTCTGTTATTCTCAATGATGATTGTTATAAGAAGAGGGATGAATAGTGGAGGTTAATTTCAAAATCAGCCATATTAAAGTCCTTTATGCTTCAGACTTATAACAAGTGGAGTTGGCCGTTTTTGAAACTATACCTCAATTATTCGCGTTAAAAACTAATACATTAACATAGTGGGGCACCCAGAGGGGAACCAAGATGCCCTGGAATACTAAAGCAAAAGAAAAACTACACTATTAAATTTTTCAAAAATTTTTTTCTTAATTAAAATTTAATTTTTATTTATATTATGTCGTGTCTTCTATTACTTATTAATTTAGCGGTCACATAAGGTGAAAATTTTATTGAATTCGCATCAAAACTTTTTGATCCGTTCAATTCGGCTCCCTAAGATAAAATTTTGAGTAAGCATTAACATATAGTTGTTTAAGGGCAAATTATAATTAGTTTGTTTGAAATAAAACATAAATTATAATACAGTACAAAAACTAAAAAGAAATAAATAAGACATACAAAAGAAACAGAAAAATACCCGTTTAACACGTATTCCTCGCATTAAACAGATTACTGTATCAATTAATCTGGAGAAAAAAATAATATAATGTATGGATTAGTAGATAAAAATGGTGTCATTACTTTCATCTGTAATATATTAAATGACTTCTAGAGTTATTAAACGAGTAAAATAATTTTTGTTATTATAAAACATATATTTCATCTGTACAAAATATAAATATTGATAGTTTATGTTGTTATAAAAAAACAAGTTTACATTAAAAAATTTTGAAACTCCTATTACACAGAAATGATATCTTCAATTAATAGTAGTATATATATATACTTATGCATCAGCTTTTTTTAATTTTAAAGACAATTTATTTCATTGAAATTAATTAGAGAAATTTCACTTTAGTGCAAATGAAGATACTAACCTGTGAGTCCATCCTTATCTTCAGCATGGACGTTGGCTCCGGCATTCACCAGTGCGAGGATTGCATCGCTGCTGCCTGAAGGACAGTATGTTTTACTAGTTCTGGTCTCTTCAGCAGGGACGGACAGAGGACAGAAATCAGTATATATTTTCTAATGGGTGTCACATTTAAGTCCCTCGTATGCTATCTACAGTGCAACTATTGACATGCAGTGCGTAGCGAATAATATACTTATTTAATTAATTTATTAAAAAGTGCAATTTTTAAATAATCTAATCTAATTTTCTAAATGTTTACATATATCATACATAGAAAAATAAATTATGCTATAATAAATAAAAGTATGCAAAACTAATTTATATTTCTTCTATTAAAATAATTATTAACAGGTATATCTAATAAAAGAAAAATCATATAAATAATGAAATTATAAATATTGAACTACTAAATTCTTGCAGGCTATTTTACTACAGAATTTTCCTTTTTAATTCTACAGTTACTTTTGGATTAAATAGCTAGAAATTCTCTATTGTTTTATACTTTTTACTTCACTATATTTCTGTGCATATAAAACTAGAGTGCATTTAACAGTTTCTATGGACATTGTGTAGTTAAGCCACGATGTTATTTGTAACAACAGGGATCAAGCTTACGTTAGACCACAAAATGTTTAACACCCTCATTATTATGTATTGATATCCTTCTGTTATCCTCATGAAATTATAATAATGGAATTGATACTGTATTTTAATCAGATTTTTATAACATTTGACATTACAATATGGAAATATAAATTTTTAATGCAATTACTTTTAATATAATGTCATCTTAAAAAAATATTTTCATATAATTAAATTACAATAATTTATAACAACTTCTTGTATTGTTTTTATTGCAATTCTTAAACAGATATATATTTCAAAATATCCATTTTAAAAATGCAATATTTATAACGTGCTTTATTTTAATATCCACGGCTTTACGGCCCAATTTTCGTTCATTTCGGGAGGACCAATCTATTAAGGTCAATTAGAAAGAGTGAAAGGTGATAAAAAACAACGCTCTGAGTCTAATTACGCAATATAATTATTAGTAGCGAATAATTAATCAACCAAATAAGATGATTCGATCAGATTAAAATACAAATATTAGAAGCAAAATAACTTTTATGAATTGCAGAGATTTGAAAATGATATTTCCACGCATTATAATTTATTTCACTTTAATTATCCTATAATAAATTACAATTAGTAAGTATATAATCGTATTTATAAGAGGATTTTTAAAATAAAACACGCTAAAATTTATTTTAATTTAATATATATATATATTTCATGGATTGCAATATATAAATATACCATTTACAATATATACTTCAAACTATAAACTAAAAACTATAAAATTATTTATTAATTTTTCTTTTTTCTAATTGCATAGCGTTGATTTTTTCAAATTACCATACTAAATTAAATTTTAAGGAGTTAATATATTGTTAACTTTATTATCATTAAAATATTTATAAAGAATTAAATAACCTAGCATAAAGAATAGCTTTATTAATATAAAATACAGTATAATTCATTTTCAGGATTCTGAATTTGAAATGGAATCAAGGCAAACTTTCAAATAATTTATAAGAACATATTTTATGCGATGATAAGAATGAAACGTATTGTAAACTGACACGAAGAAGCTTTATCAATTTGATCGTGAAAGCGAAGAGATAACTAGGTTAGAGATTATCAAGATAAGAGTCTATTATCGATCGAATTTTATACCTTGTCCTTATTCCATTATTTTTATTCGATATCGATATCTCATCCCCTTGAGAATCTTCCAATACAGAAACGCTTCTAAGAGAATAAGAATAACCTCACTTAAACAGCCAATAATTTAGATCTATATAAGCTACTGTTATATTTCAGAATCTTGAAAAATTCAAGTAAATCATTACCATATAAAAAGACATTTAATCTGGGATGGAAAATAGCTTTTAAAATTTCAAAAAGTTTCAATTTTTGCAGTGAAATATTTATAGTTTCAGGCAATTATAAATATTCAATGATATTTATATACAACTAGAACTAACTACAATTTTAATTATAATAATAATTTGTATAAATACGATAAGAATAAGAATGCATACCTGCACTAGCTGCCCATAGAAGTGGTTGACGGCCATCTTGATCGCTAACGTCGACTTCGACACCCCAACTCAATAGTTTTCGAAGGGCTGCTAATCCGATCTTTACATCGTTTCCCATTTCGCTATTAGGACCACACATCTGAGCGGCATAATGTATGGGATATGCTCCATGAATATCTGGCGTGGAAGGAAAAGCTCCAGCTTCCATTAGGATATCCAAACATGCCAATTCTCCACAAACTAGAAAACATGAGAAATAATAAAAGTAAATAAATAATTATTATAATTCTTATAATTACAGTAGACCCCCCCTATAACACAGTAGATAATTCCGTGTTATATGAATTCCATGTTGTACGAGTCGCTTAGATTTTACAAATATGTGAGCCGTTCACAGCCGGCACACGTATTTATAAAATCTAAGTGACTCGTACAACAGGGAATTCATATAACACGGAATTATCTACATTGTTTTAGGGGGAGTCTACTGTATTTATAATATCCAATTTTAATTAACTATTATGTTTATATTACACAAATATTTGGAAATTAATTAATTTGAAAAATAAAGATTCTGGGTATAAAATAATAATAATTAGTGATGGATTCATTTAAATGATTTGAATAATCAAATTATCATTCCAATGGATCATCCCTATCAGTAAAAAAATTTTTTTTTTGTTCATGAAGATCTTGCAATTGCTCAAATGTTTAAAAACGATAACCATATTGTTATTTTACACTTTCCACATTAAAAACTCCACATTTTTATGTTTAAACTTTTATAATTCCATTATCGATAATGCGGCTAATTTATCATTTAATAAGTCATTTTAATTGCATTTAAATACTGTATATTTTAATTTATAAAATTATTAAATAGTGAAAATATTGCTTCCATGTTGGACGTATTTTAAAATACGCTAAAAAATGGAAGCGAATCTAAACTCGTTTAATTAGTCATTGGTTTTTACGGCACATGATAGGAAACTGCTCGATTAATGTCTATATTCACAATCAAAGATCAAAAGTTAAGAATTAGAAATTTAGTGTTCAATGGCTCACTGGTGAACCAAAAAAAAGGGGGAGAGTAAATCATTGGAATGAACCCATCACTAATTGTAATTCTGTATATTATTTACATAAGTTATATTCATATTTTGTTTTTTGCGATATTAAAAGTATTCTTATGACAGCTTCAATAATAAATCATCTCAAATATAACCAATCGATACAAATTTTAACGATTAGAATACGATTATTGCCTAATAAAGCATCTTTCTAAATATTTATTGTACTTAAAATATCAGGTTTCAAATGATAAAACTCCTCTTATCTTGTTTCTATTAACATTATTATTATTATTATTATTTTAATTTAATTGGACAGGGATTTATATTAGTTAACTAAATTTAAAGTAGAAAATTAAACCAAGAGAAAATAATTCAAAGATTGTCATTTATTTTAATTGTTCACTTAGAACATCGTGTTATATTGTATAGCTTACAACCTTGTATATTTTAGAATTTTTAAAGAATTTTTAAAATTTTTATGGGCTACACCGAAATACGCAATTTTAATATTTTTAGAGTAAAATTTCAATTAATTAAATCAAAAACGAGATTCGATTAATTGAAATTTAAGGTTAGATTAACAACATATGAATAAAAATCCAATTAAAAGTAATTATCAAAGATTATTGCAAACAGAACTTTAAATAATATCCTAAATTTGTCTATAATTCATTAAATAAAATAAAAGATTATGAATTAAATTATTAACTACGTTCAACTTTAAAATTAATCATTTCTACAAAGAAAATTCATTATATTAGAGTATAATATACGTCTAATAACTAGACATATTCTCCATAATGATTCTGGATGTTAAACTTCTCTATACATCCTATTGCTTTTACTATTTTGAATAAAAGAATTAAAAATAATTCTTTAATAATAAAAAGCCATGTTTTAAAATATTCAAGACACAATAAGTATTTTATTTGTCCCTTTATTGTATCATATCCATTATAATTTAGGTAATTTGTGTAGCTAGATTGTTCATAAATCCACTAAATCTAACAAAAAATTAGATAAATTGACAACTCTGCTGAAAATTAAGAGCAACAAAACATGCCTTCATATTATTTATTTTCACTGTGATGATACATAATGTATAATTAATTTTTAAGCGGTCTGCCAATTGTATGTACACTTACAGATTTAGTGATTAGTCTGATCTCTTACATTAAATTGAGATAACTTTTCGTTTCGATAACGAACCACAATTCATAATCGGAGACAAAAATGAATTTCATAATCACGGAATTTATGCAAATACAAGTTGTTTACGTTAACCTCCATCAAAACGCTGCAAACAGTTCAAAAGCTTTAGTGTTTTCTCGTGTGAGAGTTCCCATTTGTCATCACGAAATCTTACTAGAGTTCGCTTTTTGTCTCATTTTCGGAGCCTGGGAAGTTATATGCTAACTAAAATATAGTGGAATGAATATGGGAGATTTGCCCAAAATAATCCCTCGTTATTTTTCAAAATTGTAGCTAGATAACAACAGTTAGCCATTTGCAAGATTTCAGCTTGAAGATACTTTATCATTCTCAATTAAAGGTGACCTCAGATAAGAGACAGTTAGCTGGCAGCTGCGTTGATGTTGCAGTAAAAACATTGTGGTGAATACAGTACATACAGTACATACATACATATCATCACACTCATAATACAAGAAGGGTGAGCAGCAGGCAAAAAAAGACTACAATCTTACAAACTATTCAGCAAATATTGTGATGACTATTCTGAACTTATGTTGTGTCTAGGGTTTCTCATTTCCCGGTCTTTTGCTTGTCCCGGGATTCCGGGATAAAAGTGAACTGTTTTCCGTGATTCCGGGATAGAATTAATTATTTTTAAAATATACAAAATATCTTAGAATCAATGATATAATTATTTTTCATTTTTTAAAGTAATTTAATATGTTCTGTAATCTCCAAAATCATATTAATAATGTTGTGTAAGATATATAATAAAAGTTACCTTTGAATTACATAGAAATTTTCACAAATATAAAAAATTTATTGAAGTTTGCTGGAAACTGCATACAACAACAAGAATAAAAATGCTTTGAATTGAGTTGAAAATTTAATAAAAATGAATCTAGATCAAACTTCTAACTTACAAGGTAATTTTTGTTTTTTAAATAAAATATAATACAAAATATTGTAAATTTTTATAAGATTTTAAAAAGCAAAGATGGTCAATACTCCGATCACTCACTCTAATTCTTATTTTAGTAATGAAAAGTTCTGCTACCGAGAATGCCCTTACTGATTCAATTGATGTGAGTGGAATCGTGTTTAATGCATTTAAGAGAAGACAGATATTATGTTTTTTCACCTGTAGCCTGGAAGATTTTTAGTTCGTTTTCGAGATTCGTCTTTCGCTCTCTAGTATTCTTGATTTGTTTACCTCGATTGCTTTAATAGAAACATCAAGCTTATAGCCCAATAATTCGGCAGTTCGTTTGTCTTTAATAATCGGGTTTATGAAGAAAAACTTCATACTTACAGACTTCGTACTCGTTTGTATCCTTGCCCAATTTGCCCAACCTGGCGTTACGCAGTTATTGAAGCTACAGGGCATGGTTAAAAATTAAGACAACATAAACACAATTATTCCAGATATTACAGGTTCCGACAAGTAAAGAATTTTCAGAGTCCTGCCACAAATAAGCTACGTACTGATTATTGACCATTTGTGACATGCCATAACGAGAAAAAATTAAAAAATAAAACTAATAAGTAGGTTTAAAATTGATAAATACAAAGGAATTCCGACAGTTTATGAGTTAATTATGCTTTCTATTTGCAAAATTTCTTCGACCTTAACACAAAGTTTTAAGTGAAGTTTTAAGAAATTTTTCGGGATTTCCCGGGTTAAAAAAACAACCGGGATTCCGGGATCCCGTTTGAGAAACCCTAGTTGTGTCATCCTCTAAGCTTCACATGAATTGCGAAACGTGTAGCAAAACGTAATGCTTTGACTTTTTATAATTAATTAAAAAGATATATTAAGAAACGTTTAAAAGCATGCAAGCAACTTGCAAAGTAATCAAAGGTAAAGTTTGCAAAACTCTGTGCTGAAAAAGTATGTCGAGTGAAGCAAAACGATTCCAAGGGTGGTGAGGTAAAACGATCCCATGTTATCGTATTGCCAAGTGGATAGAAACAATGTAAGATTATTATAATCAAATATATGCCCACTTACTGGTTATCGCTGTTAACAAGTTACAGTAATGCTTATTCGAATTAAGATAGCGAATGTAGTTATTATTGATTTTTAATCGTGCGGTTTTTTAAAAGAAGTTTGTGCAGACAAGTTAATGTATAGATACACATTTTGAACAACAGAAATACTAATTTAGTTATCGAAGGGACTAAGTAAAAAAGTTTCTTTTTAACAAAAATCAGTAGAACTCATAAGAAAGAAAAGGAGATTGCCACAGTGCTCACGTCATTATCCCATTTTCAAAACATTCGAGAAAAGAATTCCCAAAATCGCTAAGAATCTTGCCGAAAACCACTCTTTGCATCAAATCAAGTTTCTCCAGCTGACGACGATGTACCGTGCTTTTATTGTGGCGAGTTGTTTTCTCAATCCCAATCAAAAGTGGAGACAGTATCAAGCCTACGAGCTTTGTACTCATTAATTATGTGCAGGCTTGGACAAGGCTCCGAAAAACTTCATTTATGAAGGCCGTGGAACAAAATAATCTCAGGATCATTTGGCCCTGGGATACGGATTCTAATGCACTCAGTTACTATTTTGTCCTTGGTACGAGGCAAGATAGTAACTGAGTACATGGAATAAAATTTATTATTTTCACTTTGGTATATAAATAAAAAAAGGAATAGAACCGGGATCGTCAGATAGATACGTATAAAAAGAATTAGAATTACATATAAGTGGATTAGGTATAAATCAGACTTCACTGTACATATATTTTTTCAGAGAAAATGACTAATGAAGTGATTACTGTGAGTAATCAATAGAAAAGTAATCATATTTTTTCAAATTTGTAACCATTTTTATAATGAAATTCGTACTAATTTTCAATTCGAAACGATGTATTTCAGTCGAAATTTATATTTATAATTTTAAAATATTTTAAATTCAATATAATTATTCATTAGGCTCATCCAATGTAGAATTATAAACCGTTCTAAATA